AGGGAGCTGCACTCTCATTTATTGACACCCACGTCAATCACCACTTACATGTACGCCACTAATTACAGCATTAAATCGCATCCAATTACCTCACACGGTGACTAACTGTGTCCTCTCCTCGATAGCACGTGTGCTGCGACTGCAAGAAGAGCTTCTGCGCGCTGTGCTCCGTGCTGCAGGAGAACTTGCGCTGCTGCGCCACCTGCCACTTATTGCGGGGCACCGCCTTCCAGAGGCCACGCCTCATGCAGCTGCGTGTCAAGGACCTGCGGCAGTACCTGCTGCTACGCAACATCCCCACCGACACCTGCAGGGAAAAGGAGGACCTGGTGGAACTGGTTTTGTGCCACCGGGGCACCCGGGAGCCGCCCCGACCTGTGATGGTGGTGCAGGAGGAGGAAGAGGAGGAAGACGAAGAAGAGGAAGTGGATGGAGACACGCCCGAGGAACGGGAGGGACATGATGAAGATGATACAGACAGTCTCCACTCACGTGCCGCCTCGCCGCCCTCCCCCGCCGACTCAACATCCGAACAGTCGCTTGGATCCGCCTCTCAGGGAGTCGTGCTCAGCCCAAGTGACAGCTCAGGGACCCCAAGCCAGGTGACACTGACACACAATTAGAGTACGGTTAAAACAAAAAATAGCGAGCTAGTGTGGCTAGTTATAGTGAGGAGCCAGTCCTCAAAGTTACCTCAACTCCATGGCAGCGCATAAGCAACACTTCTTTCTGACAAATATCGCTATTGCTAAAGGAGGACGAGGAGTAGCGAATCATGTGACACATCGAGAGAGAAGCAAGAACATGAGAAGACGGAGAAGCCATTGCTAACTGCAAAGCTAACATGAAAGGAAGATGAATGAAACGTCCTTAAATTTGGTTTCAAATAAATGTAGAAATTTTTTTTTTAAATTAAAAGCTAGTTTATTTGTAGCTAAGCTAAATTAATGATGACGAAATACTTTTTAAATTAAAAAATCTTTTAATTGTGTTTATTCGAACTACGTTTTAGATTATTAAAAAAAACACGATTTGAAGCAATTATTTTTTGATTGGAAAGAATGTGAATAATTGGTTGACATTTCAACTTCACAAATGGCCCATCTGCCTCTTTTAAAAATCAAATGTGGCCCTTGAGTACAAAAGTTGGCTCAGCCCTGCTCTAGATGCTTGTTGAGCTGAATTCAACAACAATTATGTTGATTTTTCTCTCCACAGCGTGGATTCTGCATTCATGTGACAGCTGCAAGCAGCAGCATTTACACTCTGACTGCCACTGTGTGTGCGCGTGTGCTTGCGTGTGTGCGCGTACGTGCGTGTCTGTGTGTACATGCAGACCAGCGAGCAAGGCGGCTTAAGCCCTTTGCCTTTTTTTAGGTCGCTTACATGGGCTGAGTCAGTTATGTAACGCGCACGCAGGTTGACAACTCCCTGCAGCAACGCAGCTGACACCAAACGCGATGCTGAGCACCATATTAACACTGCATTAAAACA